GGCCACACTTTATCTGCCATACATATATGTTCTTTCAGTTAGACTGGGGTACAACAGACATGGTTGTGGTGGTATAGGTGAGTTATATCATGAGTTGCAGCAAAACGAACGCAATTCTGAGAAGTAGATTAAGGGTGGAATGTTATTATATTTATATATTCCATTCAACAATAAGAAACTCTGAACGGGTTACTAACAAAGTATTATATATTTTTAACACCAATTATTTGTTTTTGTACTTTTTTACTTGACTGTTGCAAGGATGAACGATCAAACTATATACAGACGGTAATAGGCAAATCAACATTTCCTGAAATTATCATGTTTAGGTTAAATTGATTATCGGAACAGTTCGGAAATGACGTTTACTAAAGAAAAGGTGAAAATACTAAGGATTTTATAGCAACAGTAAAGTTAGTTATTGAAAGCTATCACTGGTAGTCTTTAGTTACACTAATGTCAGTAACTAAGCTATCATCAGTAGTCTTTAGTTACACTGATGTCAGTAACTAAGCTATCATCAGTATTACTAGACACTACTAGTGATAACAGTAACTAAGTTATCACTAGTAGTGTCTAGTAATACTGATAACAGTAACTAAGTTATCACTGGTAGTCTCTGGTTATACTGATCTCAGTAACCAAGCTATTACTGGTAATCTCTGGTTATACTGATCTCAGTAACCAAGCTATTACTGGTAATCTCTGGTTATACTGATCTCAGTAACCAAGCGATTACTGGTAGCCTCTAGTTATATTTATGTCAGTAACTAAGCTAGCACCGGTAGTCTTAATTATACTGATGTCAGTAACTAAGCTATCACCGGTAGTATTTAGTTATACTGATGTCAGTAACCAAGCTTCATGTAACAGATACAAACTGTTTAATTCCAGTTTTGTTATATTATTTCTCTGTAACAGATATAATCTGTTGAGTTCTAGTTTTGTTATATTTTTTCTCTGTTACAGAAATAATCAGTTGAATTCTAGTTTTGTTTTATATTTTTCTGTAACAGATATAATCTGTTGAATTCTAGTTTTGTTATATTTTTCTCTGTAACAGATAGGATCTGTTGAATTCTAGTTTTGTTATATTTTTTCTCTGTAAGAGATATAATCTGTTGAATTTTAGTTTTGTTATATTTTTTCTCTGTAACAGAAATAATCTGTTGAATTCTAGTTTTGTTATAATTTTTCTCTATAACAGATATAATCTGTTGAATTCTAGTTTTGTTATATTTTTTCTCTGTAACAGATATAATCTGTTGAGTTCTAGTTTTGTTATATTTTTCTCTGTAACAGATATATAATCTGTTGAGTTCTAGTTTTGTTATATTTTTCTTCTGTAACAGACATAATCTGTTGGATTCTAGTTTTGTTATATTTTTCTGTCTAACAGATGTAATATGTTGAATTCTAGATTTGTTTCTTGGCTTGACTTTATGGTTTCTTGTTTCTTTCCTGCAATATTAACCCTTATTCTTTGAGACTGGATACTCTTGTAACTAACTTTAATGAAACCTCCTTAGACCACAGTAACAGAGAATGCCAGTAGGGAAGTTTTTATTGCCAAGTGACAAGGGTATTTCGTGTACTAGGTATAAATCATTATTACAGTATAATATGTTGTAAGTTTTCAAATGCTGAATTTTGCAGCTTATCGAGAATTCTGTTTATCATATTAAAAAAATAGGGTAATTTAAATGTTTATCATTTTATTTTAGCATCCATACCCATCTGAGGACCAGAAGAAGCAGTTGTCCCAGGATACAGGTCTAACCGTTCTACAGGTCAACAACTGGTAAGTAGATGTTTTAATCTATAAATGTTCCAATTCTTCAGAGAGACATGGATCTTGTCATCCGTCAAGCCCAGACCTGGAATTATCAGTATAATGACCCCAAGGTCGTTTCCATGACTTCTTAATCGGATGAGTATAACATGAAGTACTTTTCACTTTTCTTTCCAACTTTTGTATTACCATGTAATGTTCGAAAAGGCATATTATTGATGAATGAAAGATACTTTAGATGTTGTAAAGATATCTGTTGTGAAGACATTATGTCGACTTCTGTTCGGATGTTTAAACTTTCCCACACGAAATATTCTGTCTTTTGTCCCACTGTGGGACAGCGGTAAGCTTACAAACTTACGGAGGACACAACAGATTGCCCATTGTAGCTTTGCTCTGTCTGGTGATTATATTATTTTCCTTCCAGTGACAAATTGGCTCATTAAATTTCCATGTAAACATTTTTAGATAATTATATGTAATTCCGCCAGTTTTCTTATATTTATCTGCTTGAACAACAAAACCAATGTTTCCTTCATGAGGACGACGTTTGAGGTCCTTTGACGATAAATTTGATTCACATACGCTGTTGTCCAGCTGTTCCATAGACCTTTTCGGATAGGTTTCATAAATCATACCAACATATGGCCACAAATACAGACACTTCTACTCCAAAGGCCTTCTCGGAAAGGTTTTCGGAACTAAACCAGAACATGAACATAAAGATATTGCTAGTCCAAAGGCCTTACCGAAGACGTTTTAACAACTAAACCAAACCAGAATATAAACATCAAGACAATACTATTCCAAAGGCCTTCCCAAAGAGGTTTTCACAATTAAACTAGGCCAGAATATAAGCATAAAGACATTGCTACTCCAAAGGCCTTCTCGAAGAGGTTTACACAACTAAACTAGGCCAGAATATAAGCATAAAACATTGCTACTCCAAGGGCCTTCCCGAAGAGGTTTTCGGAATTAAGTTAAACCAGAATGTGTACATAAAGACTGTGCTACGCCAAAGGCATTCCCGAAGAGGTTTTCACAGCTAAACCAGGCCAGAATATAAGCATAAAGACATTGCTACTCTAAAGGCCTTCCCGAAGAGGTTTTCGGAACTAAATTAAACCAGAATATAAGCATAAAAACATTGCTACTCCAAAGGCCTTCCCGAAGAGGTTTTCACAACTAAACTAGGCCAGAATATAAGCATAAAGACATTGCTACTCCAAAGGCCTTCTCGAAGAGGTTTCCGAAAACCTCTTCGGGAAGGCCTTTGGAGTAGCAATGTTTTTATGCTTATATCTGGCCTGGTTTAGTTTTGTACAATGTCTTTATGCTTATATTCTGGCCTGGTTTACTTGTGAAAACCTCTTCGGGAATGCCTTTGGCGTAGCACAGTCTTTATATACACATTCTGGTTTAATTTAGTTCCTAAAACCTCTTCGGGAAGGCCTCTGAAGTAGTATTGTCTTTATGTTTATATTGTGGTTTAATTTAGTTCCGAAAACCTCTTTGGGAAGGCCTTTGGAGTAGCAATGTCTTTATGGTTATATTCTGGCTTAGTTTAGTTGTGAAAACCTCTTCGGGAAGGCCTTTGGAGTAGTATTGTCTTTATGTTTATATTCTGGTTTAATTTAGTTCCGAAAACCTCTTCGGGAAGGCCTTTAGAGTATCCAAAGGCCTTCCCGAAGAGGTTTTGACAATTAAACCAAACAACGCGAGGACAGCAGACCTATCTTTTTGTTAGTTTAATTATCTCGAACATTTGTGAGTGTGAATAATATAAGTATTATACATTATACACAACGTAATGATTTATAGTGTACCGGAAGTAATGGAAATTACTTTTACAATAGTTTCGTAGCTCCTTATCCTATTATAAAATCTTTATGAGTTGGGCGTTACCTCTCATATGCTGTCATGCATTACAGAAACACGAGGCAATATGTAGGCTAGTATTACTCAAACTCTTGTTATTAAGATTTTTATTATTATGTGTGTGTGTATATATATATATATATCCACATACCCTCTATGCAAGCTACAAATGAAAAACTATATGTTATGGGGGAAAAAACACAGCGGGTCTTTCAGCTGAATACCCACTTTACGAGGGACTATCTGATCAGTACCAATTGTTAATGTTTCGGACCATGATACTGATCTCGGATTGTTTTTCTACGTCATTTTTCAAGCTCAACAGCACAAAAAAAACAACAAATGTAGGCGACAGTTTATAGAAAACGCGTGCTTTTGAAAGCTCCACAATAATATAGCTTTTAGTACCACAGATTAACCAGCTTCACTGTATAATGTAGTTGTGGTACAAGTATAGCTTTTAGTACAACAGATTAACGACTTCACAATGAAATATGGTTGTGCTACAAGTATAGCTTTTAGTACAACAGATTAACGACTTCACAATGAAATATGGTTGTGCTACAAGTATAGCTTTTACTACCACAGATTAACCAGCTTCACAATAATATATGGTTGTGGTACACTAAAAGCTATACTTGTACCACAACCATATTTTATTGTGAAGCTGTTTAATCTGTGGTACTAAAAGCTATACTTGTACCACAACCATATTTAATTGACAAGCGGTTAATCTGAGGTACTAAAAATTATTCTTGTACCACAGCCATATTTTATTGTGAAGCTGTTTAATCTGTGGTACTAAAAGCAATTCTTGTACCACAGCCAGATGTTATGGTGGAGCTGGTTAATCTGTGGTACTAAAAGCCTTTACCACAACCACATATATTGTGAAGCTGGTTAATCTGTGGTACTTAAAGCTATAGTAGTACCACAGCCAGACTATATTCTAAAGCAGGTTCAAATGTGGTACTAAAAGCTATGCTTGCATCACAACCAAATTATATAATGAAGCTGGTTAATCTGAGGTACTAAAAGCTATATTTGTACCACAACCATATATCATTATGAAGCTGGTTAATTTGTGGTACTAAAAGCTATACCTTACCACAACCACATTTTATTGTGAAGCTGATAAAGCTGTGGTACTAAAATCCTGTACCAGCACCAGATATTATTGTGAAGCTGTTTAAATTGTTGTACAAAAAGCTATACTTGTACCACAACCATATATTATTGTGAAGCAGGTTAATCTGTGGTTGTAAAAGCTATACTTGTACCACAGCCAGATGTTATGGTGGAGCTGGTTTATCTGTGGTACTAAAAGCTATACTTACCACAGATTAACCAGCTTTACAATATAATCTGGTGGTGGTACAAGTATAGCCTTAAGTACCACAGATTTACCAGCTTCACAATAAAATAATGGTTGTGGTACAAGTATAGCTTTTAGTACCACATTTTAACCAGCTTTACTATATAATGTGGTTGTGGTACAGGCTTGTAGTACCACAGCTTAACCAGTTTCAAAATAATATATGGTTGTGGTACAAGTATAGCTTTTAGTACCACAGATTAACCAGCTTCACAATAATATATGGTTGTGGTACAAATATAGATTTTAGTACCACAGATTAAACAGCTTCACAATAAAATATGGTTGTGGTACAAGTATAGCTTTTAGTACCACAGATTAACCAGCTCCACAATAAAATATGGTTGTGATACAAGTATAGCTTTTAGTACCACAGATTAACCAGCTCCACCATAACATCTGGCTGTGGTACAAGTATAGCTTTAGTATCACAGATTAACCAGTTTCACAATAATATATGGTTGTGGTACAAGTATAGCTTTTACTACCACAGATTAACCAGCTTCACAATAATATATGGTTGT